GTTAGAGAATCCTGCCAGACTCGACATCAATGGGTACTTTATAATAAAATATTCAACGAAAAAAAGAATTGGTGCAGTTGCCACTTTCATGTCAATTTTTCCTGGGTAGCTTTAGATATCGAATATTACAAAAAATGGTACCCAAAAGTGTAATATGTATATACTAATAGAATTTTTAGTTATGAAATCTAAAGTTAAAAAAAATAAAAATTTCTGAAAAAATATGGTCAACTTATAATTTTTATTATTTTTAAAGCATGTAACTGCTTGATGTTTAAATCTAAAGAAAACACAACTAGAAAAAACTCCACGCGCACAAGGCAGCAGACGGGACTCGAACCCGCACCCTTCGCAATCCGGGCGAATGCACTGACCAATAGGCTAGTTGACCCTTTTTGGAATAAGGTTTTAAATGGTTAATAAATGTTCTATTAGACCGAAAAAAAATGTATTGTATTTTTTTGAGACCTAGGAAGCTACAAATCTTTAATTTTAAAATAGAATTTTCATGGACATACAAAAACGCTGTCGGCCATTTTAGTCTATAGATTGTCTATGCTACGATGTCAACTGTAGTAAACAAAAACTCGTAAGCACGTAGAAAATAACTTATCTGAGTTTATAATAAAAAGAACATGATTTCTAATAAATATCACGAAAAATAAAGTAATTATCATTATTGTATTGTACGAGAATATAAAAACACATCCTTGAAGACTCCAGGAATGTTGTGGATTAAAGTGCCGAAAGAAATTAACCTACGCAACTTTATTACACTTAATTCATATGTTGTATCAGTATTATGTTTATTACTACATTGTAATACTAAATGCGGCTCAGCTTTCCATTATATGTAATTGAGTTGCAAGCTGAAATTTTTGTCACGCAAAGTGTTAACTATTAAAAACACGTACACGAAATCTTTTTAGGCGGAAACGAATAGAACTCGAAAAAAAAATTATTGAAAATTAATATTTTTGTAGGTTATGAGTCAATTTTGACAGCAATTTTGATCAGTGCTGCCATTTTTTTATGCAAAAATAACATGTTTCTCGTTGTCTATGGTAAATATAAGTTTATTATGTTGGTACTATTGTCAAAATGTGACAATTTACCGCCATTAATGAGATCTGTCAGTCACCTCGAGTTCTGCTGGCCCTTCGCCTGAAGAGTCGAGTGTAGTGCGAGTTTTGGACTCTAATGAGCCGCTTGTGTGGTGATACTTCACACTAGGTTAGGTTAGGTTAGTGTTGTGACCTTAACGCGCGAGCCGAGCGAGCGAAGCGAGCGTGCCGCGGCAGCGGCCGGCGAAGCGCCAGAAAGAAAAATTCGTTAATAGAGACTTTTTCTACAAAAAAATCAAATATCATCTCTAGGCCCTGGAAGTACAGTTTTACCTTTAAAACCCCTCTAATTTTTTATAATTATCATTTCTGTAAAAAAACGCTGGGAGGGGGGAGGGGGATTTACCCTTCCCTCTGAGGGGTCTTCCCTAATACCTATCCCCCTGAAATTCCACTACATTTAACAGATTTAATGAATTTTTAGGTTAGGTAAAAAAAAACTGCATTTCCGCCAAAAATCTTTTATGGCGGGGGGGGGGGGGGGGGTCGGGGGGAGCCCCCCCTCCACCCCCCCTACAAATTACCCCGAAATTCAATTACATATAATGGAATTAAGTACCCTAAATGCACTTTACTTACATAGATGCCTTGTCGTTTCTCTGCTCCGCAGAGCAGAAATCGGGGTTCAGTGCAAAAAATTCACCAACCATCAATGCGTCAATTCTTGGCAGATTTGTGCTTTCTGCTTTCACAAAGCCGGCATCCATAATTAGTTTTGTCAAAAAAAACAGTAAACGGAAACTTTTCTAAAGTTAAAAGTGTTTTAAGAAAAAATTATTCAGACTAAAGAATCCACCCATAACAACACGCGAATGACATTTAGTTGTTTACTGAAAGAGACGTCACAATCATGGCGAAAGTAGCGAACAGCGTTTTTAGTGTTTAAAAAATATAGACTAAAAAATATTTTTTTAAATTAAATTTCTACAGCAATCTTCTGCTTTTATGAAGTGAAATCGATATATTTAGGTTCCTTAGACCAAATACTGTAAGAAATAAACATTTATTTAATACAATTCGACATGAGTCAACTAGCCTATTATGCTACCGCGGCCCTCACGGACCGAGTCGAAATTCTTCTAGCCATTCTTAAGCTGTAATGCAGCGCCATCTCTTCGCATTATACACACTGTCAAATGAATACTTTTACAAGTAATAAACATTTGTAAAAGTATTCATTTGACTTTACATTTGATACTTTTACATTTGAAACTTGTAAAAGTATTCATTTGACAGTGTGGGTTACCTATAATGCGAAGAGATGGCGCTGCATTGCAGCTTAAGAATGGCTGGAAAAATTTCGACGCGGTCCGTGAGGGCCGCGGTAGCATAATTGGTCAGTGCATGCGCCCTGATTGCGAAGGGTGCGGGTTCGAGACCCGTCTGCTGCCTTGTCCGCGTGGAGTTTTTTCTAGTTGTGTTTTGTTATGGTCAAGTTGCCAAGTTTTACGGTACATTTACTTTTGATTAAACTCGCGTGGCGTGGCATCGCGTTAAAGTCTGTTTCGGCCAAAGTACAATCCTTGTTTTGTATCTGTGGGAGTATTGTAAAGTCTCTTGCCTTCGCCTTATTAGCACAAAAAAAACGATAAAGCCGACGACACTAAGAGAGGTCACACACGTTACAACCATAGAGGTATAAGAATAGAGTAGGAGAGATATGTACTCTACTACAATTGGAAGTGTCCGTCTAGTAGAAAAAGAAAGAAGATGAGAGACGACTAGCTATCTCTCTCTCTCTTATGACGCTGCGCAGTTGTTTGATTGGTTGGTATTGCTGCGCAGTCGTGTGATTAGTCAGTATTCATCCAATGCGCATTCGCGATTAGAGAGAGAAAGGCTACCCGTCTCTCCTCTTCTTTCTCTTTCTACTAGACGGACACTTTTAGAACCACCTTCCCCACTCTATTCTTATACCTCTATGGTTACAACGATCGCACGGACTTCGGTCGTATGCGAAAAGTTCGATCGTGAATGGATTTGTCGTATAGCGGACTGAAAGATGGTCATGCCAAGGTCATATCGCCAGTCCATTGAAATACTTATCGATGCCTGGTTCGATTCTAAGATTAATGTTATTTCAATCGGCGATCTGTGCGACTGTTTCAACGTGAACAGCCCCTTCTTCTTCTTGTGTAGCAACAAGCGTTCCTCAACTCGACGCCTTATGGCGCCTGTTTTGCATGAGGACACCCCCAGGGCCTTCACATTGGTGACAGCCTCTTGAAGGTTTTCCGGTGAGCCGAGGTATTTAGCCCGGTATTCGGCCACTCCGTTGCATTCCAGCAGAACGTGAGTTGCTGTTTCTTCTGCCTCCATGCATCCTCTGCATAGGGGGCTGTCCGTGACACCTAAGTTAAAAAGAAGTGCATGTCCAGTAATAGCACCTGTTACCATGCGCAAAGTAGGTTTGCTTAGCTGTAGGAGAGTTTTAGAGCAGGCAGCGTTCCCCCGTGGCAAAGCGAGCTTCGTCTGCCTGCACGTCTCCAGATCGAGCCAGTGTTGCTGGTGTAGTGCGGCTGAGTGCTCGCGGATTTTATTGATGAGACAGCTTACCGGTATAGGGACGATTGGTTCAGGACCTGTTGCGGTCTTATCGGATCCCTTCCGGGCCAGATCATCCACTGTGTCCCTTGATTCATTGGATAGAATTGCTTGACCCTACCGTGTTTTAGGTTTGGTGGCATTCTTGTAGGTGGCTCGATTTGACTAAACATACATCTAGAGCTTGTAGGACTGATTTGCTACTTACTAACGTTGGCCCTCTTGCATGTATACTTAGAGTATAAATAAAATAGTAAACACCCGATCACATCCTAGAGAGGCAACTAGCTAGGCAGCTAGATGGGTGGTGAGGTGGGCGACCACTGACAGCAAGTCATAGGGAAGGCCTGTGCCCCAGCAGTGGGGACATGAAAAGTCTAGTGAGGATACATTTGTACATGCCTAGCTCTCTATAAAGCCTGCACAGACGAGGGACTTTTGTCCGTCAAAATAGATCGCTTACAACTGCATTGAGAAATATTTAAAAGTACCGCATACAAGCAGTCCCCTGTACAACCGAGGACAACGAGAGACCGAAAAGGAAAAAAGTACGGTGTCCCCTAAAAAAATTTTTATCTCGTGACTAGGTGCAGCAACGCACACGGCGAGCAAACTTTAGTCCGTGTTGACGAGAGAGAGATTGACCCAGTGTTCGCTTTTAAAACGTCTTCTTCTTTTCTTAAACTTCATATTAATTAGTATATAGTGTGCGCTTTTCTAAATTTTCGAGCAACAAAATATCCACACACCGTGTACGTTGACTGTGTGATAAGTCCTCGGCGGACATTTTTTTCAAGATTGAGGGACTTGTACTCCGCGGACAAAAGTCCTTCGTCTGAGCAGGCCATACATCCAGGCCAGGCTTAAATTAAATTGGACAAAGTGTTTCCTTGTCATTCTGTATACAAATTGAAAAGGAGAGACTGATCATTCTGCTTAAATAATGATAAGGATACACTAGTGTCCATTCTGGCATACTTCTCTAAACCTAAACTTAAAATTGGCAAGTATCCTTGTTATTCTCTATACAGAATGAAAAGGACAGACTGACGTAAAATTTAATTTTAAGTTTAGAGAATCATGCCAGAATCCACACCACTGTTGTCAAATTTAAGTTTAAGTTTAGGGAATCAAGCCAGAATCGACAGCACTGGTTAGTAGAAATTAATAAAATTATGTGTTTGGTAATAATAACGATAATGTTCCATCTAAATGTATTCTCTTGAGTATTCAATATTATTCCAAATTGAAAAATATAAGTAGTTTTAGTTTAGTACGAGTTTTAAGTAGTATACTGGCAATGGTTGAAGATTGTGCCAGTGTTACTATAATGATATTTTCAAAAGTAATAAAACGCGCTCGATATCCCTGTTTATTTTATTGACCACTCGCCAGATGTTTGCGCATTGTTTTCCAGTGCGCAGTAGTTTCTCTGTCGTGAAAACGGGATTCTGTTTTAGTATTATATCTATTCTGCCATTTTGAAAATAGTGGCGTGTATGGATTAGACCTAGTGTTTTTTATGTGACAAATATGTCCGGGAGCAATGATAAAGTGTCGACTACGCAGCGTATGATCCAAAGTGTCGCTTTCCCTCCCAGCCACAAGCTCACTGTGTCTGAAGTATTCGATGAAAAAACTGGAAAGCCTATTCCAGATGTACTGAAGCAACATTTTATCTTAGAAGGTCGAATCGAAGAAAACGCGGCTTTACGAATCATCCAAGATGGTGCCACCTTATTACGGTCAGAAAAAACTATGATCGAGATTGATTCACCGGTGACTGTGTGCGGAGACGTCCATGGCCAGTTTTACGATTTGATGAAATTGTTCGAGGTGGGAGGATCTCCCTCTTGTACCAAGTATTTATTCTTAGGTGATTATGTTGATCGAGGTTATTTCAGTATAGAATGTGTTCTTTACCTTTGGGCTTTGAAGTTGTGTTATCCGAAGACGTTATTCTTATTACGCGGCAACCATGAATGCCGACATTTGACGGAGTATTTCACCTTCAAACAAGAATGCAAAATCAAATATTCTGAGAAAGTGTATGATGCATGTATGGATGCATTTGACTGCTTACCTCTTGCTGCTCTTATGAACCAGCAATTCCTATGTGTGCATGGAGGTCTGTCCCCTGAAATCAGCAGCTTAGATGATATTCGTAAACTAGATAGATTCAAAGAACCACCTGCATTTGGAGCCATGTGTGATCTACTTTGGTCTGATCCTCTTGAAGACTTTGGTAATGAAAAAAATGCAGAACATTTCTCGCACAATTCGGTCAGAGGTTGTTCATATTTCTATAGCTATGCAGCATGTTGTGATTTTCTACAAAGAAATAATTTACTATCAATCATACGTGCACATGAAGCTCAAGATGCTGGTTATCGGATGTACCGTAAAAGCCAAACTACAGGTTTTCCGAGCCTTATTACCATTTTTTCCGCTCCTAATTACTTGGATGTTTATAATAACAAAGCTGCTGTCTTAAAGTATGAGAATAATGTTATGAACATAAGACAATTCAACTGTTCTCCTCATCCTTATTGGCTACCTAACTTCATGGATGTCTTCACTTGGTCTCTTCCATTTGTTGGTGAGAAAGTAACAGAAATGTTAGTCAATGTGTTGAACATATGTTCTGATGATGAGTTGGAGAATGACGGAGATGATGCACTGGAGGAAGCTAATCTCAGAAAAGAAGTCATTCGTAACAAAATCCGTGCAATTGGCAAGATGGCTCATGTGTTTTCTGTTCTTCGTGAGGAAAGTGAATCTGTTTTGCAACTTAAGGGTTTGACACCTACAGGTGCTTTACCCCTGGGTGCCCTTTCTGGTGGCAAGACATCATTAAAGAATGCCTTGCAAGGGTTTTCACCAAATCACAAGATCACATCATTTGCTGAGGCTAAAGGTTTGGATGCTATTAATGAGCGTATGCCTCCTAGGCGTGATGGCCAGCGTACTCCAGACACACAAGAAAAGAAGCCACATGTAAACAGCAATGCACATTCGTGAAGTGCTAGCTATTATTTCTCTTCGATCCTTACTTTTTGGTCCACAATAACAGTGGTAGTGAAATATTTGTGAAGGAGACTCAGCTTTTGGAATGATATTTCACATTCATAATAACTAGGTGGATTTGAAGGGAATTGTCATAATAGATACAAAATATTTTTAAATTTGGATTTAACTTTTTTTCAATAGTTAAAGTTAATATTTCTCTTAAGATATTACCTCTCGATATTTAAAATATGTCAGATCTGCAGGCAACAAATTTATTTAGTCAATTAAATGTTAAGGTATGCACATTTATTTATAATGCGCTGCACTGTTTAATTTTTGGTAATGTAATTTTAAAATTTTCATATGAAAAGACATGATATTGTAATGTAAATTTATTCAGATTGTCTACTTATACTCTACATTGTTATCTACATTAGTGAAAATTAGACATGTCTATAATTTTCAAAGCATAATTAGCTGTGATATTAAGCGACGATCAATGTATTATTTGATAGCAAAATGCTAGTGAAGTACAGACATGTTCATTGGCTAATCATGCATTGAAATATGTAAAGTAAATGGGAGAGTTCTCAGCTTGGGCGTGTCTTTATATTCTATTAAGTAATAAAAATTAATTATGTACTATAGTGTGCAGCACATGGTGTGTTGTTGCCGTGCGTGTGTGCTGTGTAAATATGCCTTGTGCGTACACACACGTTATTGCAGCTTTAACACTTGAGATAAATATTACTCTCTTTAATATCTTTGCTACAAGTTGTACTTAATTGTATTTTATTGTACAAAATATATTAAAATTACTATCTATGACTATTACTTAAAGTTAATTTATATTTGGGTGTATGCTGGCCCCTTGTTGCCTGCATGCAACTGAACTTGTATGCTGGAACATCACATATTAAACTTTCTTAGCCATAATGTTTCGGTATATAAGATGTAGTGGCTAGTCTAATTGCAGATTTTCTTACAGCTTCTATTCCAAATTTCACTATTATATTTATTAGGTTTAATGACCTATGCACTGTTGGAAAATCTCTTTTGGTCTGCCAAATAATCATTAATGCAATAATAAGTTCATATTGTGAATACTAAAAGTGGCTTACATCATTTTTCAAAGTCAGTACTAAGTATTTTATCTCAATTCAGTGTGTAGTCCTTCATAATATGTTCTGTACTTTTAAATAAATTTTACCTATGTAAAAAACTAACAATATATTTAATTTTGTTTTGTACTAATCATGGGAAGTGTTATCCTTATAAAAATATATTAACATTGAGCTCTATATATTATGGTTTTACTGAGTTTTGTCAAGTTTCTTAAAATTTATTGGAGCATGTCAAGAAGTTTCATTTAAGGTTGCTCCCCATACTATTATATTATGTAGTATATCGTCTAGTTACCTCGCCCCATAAACTATAAACTTTTCGCTAAAGTTTGCGAATCCCTTAATAAGAATATAAAAGTCATCCAGACTCCAGACTGTCTAACCACAGAATGTCACCACCGGTGATATAAATATGTACTTTGAGTACCTATCTATTTAGTTCTATAAGAGTTATAGATACTCAAAGTATAAATTGCGTTGATTGGACTCAAATTTCTCAACTGACTACCAGTGACCAAATAACAATAGTACTCCCTCATCACCCACTTAGTTACAAAAGGAAAAAATAAAAGTCATCTAAGTTTACCTACAAACGATGAAAGTTTTTATAAAAAGATTTATGTTTAAGTTTTATTTCTGTTTGTACATAAAACGAACTTAGTGTCCTCTGTAACTGATGTAGGTAGCATTACCAATTAGCAGAGGACCAATCAAGCACAATTTTTGACAGCTCCGTAATCGTACCGCATCGTCAAATCCAGGAGAACGATCGCTATACGTGCTGCATATAGGCTTGCCAGGTGCCGGCTTTAGCCGGACTTGTTTGGCTTTTTGCGGTCGCGTCCGGCCAAATATGTACGTGTTTGGCCTGTCCGGCTTTTGTCAGGCTTTTTGTCAGAGTGGCGATTCGTACGACGATGGGCGGACGAGCGTCCGAGCGGACAAGAGAGCAAACTGTTGGCGCGCGCGGCGCGTGACGTGAGCGTGACTACCCTGCCCCGCTGTCTGATATAATAAATATGTCCGGCTTTTAGGGCAAAATGTCAGGCCTTATATAGTGCGCAGTCCGGCCTTTGCATTTCATGGCCTGACAACCCTAGCTGCATAGCCCACCTGTCCCAGAAAATTTGTAGAATTTATAGTTAATTTTTCAGCCACCAGCCGCGCTGCCGTCGGTAAATAGTATCTGTGAAGTTAGCTGTTTTTGAGTACAAGTAGATGAAGCTAGTTGAATAATGTAGGTAGGTACAAATTTTCTTCGCGGCATTGGTCATTTCAAATTAGCGCACAACATTGAGACAACTTAGCGATCGCAGCGCCTCACTTATTTTGTCCATATTTCTGGGACACTATTTTCTACAGCGATCGTTCTCCTTGGTTGAATCTATGAAAATAGGGGTATCGGACGTAAGAACAAATTAGCTTATTCCATACAAAATTTGACGATAACGATACGATTGCGGAGCTGTCAAAATTCGTGCTCACGCCTCAGTACCTACCGCCTTTTCTTTTTTTTTTAATGGCAGGACATAACCTACCCCTTTTTCACCTTAAAGTCAACGGAAAGAGGACAGTTTAGTGCAGCAGGCATTTAAAGATTAAAATAATTTGGAAGCGGGGGATTCAAACAGCAGCACCTACAGCTTCTCCATTCGTGCAAGCATCGGTAAAAATCAGGGTCCACTCAGGCCATTCTTCTGCCATACGACGACCTCCGTGGCCGAGTGGTATGTACGCCGGGTTTCAAGGTGTCACCTACTCAGAGGTCTCGGTTTTGAATCCTGGTGGGACAAATGTTAGTATGAAGAATACGAGCATTTGTACCCAAGTCATGAATTATAAATGTTTATAAAATTATTTGTAGATATATTATTTTATTTATGTATCAGTATATGTATTCTATCCATATCTCTACACAACTATAGATCGCGCCAAACTTCTAGTCAGCTTTGAAGTTGCTTCGCGCAGGTGTACAGCCCTAAACACAAACTTCGTCCCTTCAAATACCTGTCTTTTGTTACTACGACGCGAATTGTGCATTGTTCAGAGCGGAACAGAAGATTGGCCCGACACAGGAAGTATTTTAACAAATGAATAGCACTTAATCTTATGTTTTAATAATAATAAAAATCTTATTACGCAATTAAATAGTTTTTAGAACAATATTTTTATTGATTTTGGATCAACAATAGCATTATCAAGTATATATAATACCTAAATGCTTAATGCTCTTAAATAACATAAATATAGACTATTATAATGCACTGTAAATCTGTTATACAACTTTCAGCCGTTTTAAGTGCTCTTTGTTGTGTGATAGCACTTATAAGTGGTAAGTAAATGTTGTGCTGCTGAACAGCATAAAGGTGAATCAATGCAATGCTTGCATTTTTGAAGATAAATTAAGTTCTGTAATAAAGCTAACAGCTCTTAAATACACGTGAGTTATTGTTATGCCACGGGTTAATAATTGTTCACCCGTGAGTATTTATATCTACTGCCACATTAATAAGCCTTTTTAAAGACGACCTCCGTGGCCGAGTGGTAGATATGCTAGTTTTAAGGTGTCACCTACTCGTGTTCGAATCCCGGCGGGGGCAAATGTTAGTATGATGAATACGAGCATTTGTACCTTAGTCATGGATGTTTATATATAATTCGGTAAATATACTTGTATGTATCAAATATATGTATTCTATCCGTTACCCTAGCATCCCATAACACAAGCCTTATAGTGCTTCAATAAAACAACTTTCAACGGGTTTGATGCACTGATTTTATTTATTTATTGACGCTGACGCCTTCTTTGCAATAATGCGTCGTCGGAATAATTATGCTTTTTTCAGCAATTATTCTATTTTGTTATTCACGAAGACATAACGCCAGAGGCACGGTGCAGGAGCGTGGTGGCACTTTTCTGCAAAAAAGGTGACAGCACCCTATTAAAGACCTACGGACCCATATAGCCGCTGCTAAGCCACGTCATCAAGTTATTTTCGAGACTCATTACCAATCGTCTTGCTATACCATCATCGCTGCATACAGCTGCATCCACACGCTGCGGTGTATACTGATTTTTAGTTCTCGTTATCGCAATGTGTACTGATTTTTAGAACCGCCGCGCCCGGTTCATTTGAAAGTATTGTCACAGACGCTCGCAAAACGGAACCGCGAAAATGCTAGAGATCGAATGTGCCAGAGCACCGCAGGTCGCGATAGAGGTCGAGTAATGCGGCTTATTCTAAAATGAGCCTTATGCAGTGCGACGTAAGGGAGAAAGTGCAAGACATCTGCACTTGTTTACAAGTTATGCGCGTTGCCTGCGTAGGTATAAGTAGGTACTACGTACTCGCGGGTGTTAGGTAACTCTCGATTTAACAGGTACTTTCTAGAATGCGTCGATCGGCGTTTATAAGCGCGATTGGCGCCGCGCAGAGACTGGAGTTTCAACAGCGATTTCCGAGCAAATCCAAAGGCGATCAAAGTGCAACAAAAGTGTTCAAGTGCGATTGTTTAGAGACTTGTATAGTGAAATACAGTGTTTAGTGACTGTTTTGTAATTAATATTGGGTTTTAAACTTTCATGGTCACTAACATTATAGTAATATAAGTTATTTACGGGATTGTTACCATGTACCTTGTTTTTAGCGAGTTTCCGATATTTCGGCACTGTTGCAAGCGCCATGATCACGGAGCACGGAGCACCCCCACTAGAGTCCGCATACAAGGGCAAGCGCTTACGCCAAGCTTAAGTAGTATTTTACCTATGCGTGAGGCACGCCTACAGTCGTCGCGATACATCGTTTCATTCGGTAACCGAGCGTCGGTCGAACTGCTTCTCTCGTTTTCGTGTTAAAAAACTGTAAAAAATGCCGTACTGTGCAATTAAATTGTGTGGAAAGTCGAGTACAACTTCCAGTCTTCAAAAAAATGGTATTACTTTTCACTGGTTAGTTTAAATGCATTACAAAAAGACAAAAATACTGTAATATTAAATTGCTGTTAATTGTATTTATTTTTTGGTGAACGTGTTGATGTCTTTTTACACTATCCCTTTCTGGCATGGGCTACATCATATATGCTATCTCGCTCTCACACCGGCACGTGTATTGCTAGTGACTCAGACGCAGCTCATGTCTCAACGCGTAAGTTTA